CAGCAGGAGATCAGCAATTCTCCTTTAAGGAACAGAAAAATCAACTATTCTGCAGTAAGCATTTGGAAAAGTAACAGGAAAACAGTTCTGTGTTGCCTGCTGACAAAATAATGCTATTTGGTTTTTTTTGTTGTTATTTAATACATCTTCCCCAAATATATGCATTATAAAAGCAACTGTGTGAAAAGTAATGCCAGAGGACTTGCATACCATGTCATACATAAGGTTTATTTCAAAGTGGCAGCAAAAGACCTCAGGGCTAGCAGAGCTATCAAAAGACACACTTTTGGAGAACTAAATTTCTGCTAGCGACTAGAGGTAGTTCCTGCTCCAATCACGGGTTCCTGCTCCTTACTACAGCAACTGCTAGCACTGGTAGCACTTTCTCTTACAAAGCACTGACACATAGCACTGGGCCAAAGAGGAGGACAGCATGACTAATGTCAGCAGCCTTTGAGGCTCAGAAAGGAAGAGAGTTCTCAACTATTTTGAGACCCAAAAAGCATGACAAATGCAAAGATAAACCACCTCAGAACTAGACTTTAAAAATGGCTTCACATTAGAAATGCACTAAGGAAATACTATAATATAAGGATCCTTTTTAGGTACAGTGTCCCTAATAATACAGGCTGAGACTAAGTACAATCTGCAGGATAAGCCGATTCTCAGCAACACGCTCTCCCAAAGACTTAGGAGGCAAGAGTAGCACAGTTGGGCCTACAAAGTATTTCAAGTACCAGGTAAACATCATGATCAAGGTGCGTCCCAAGAGAATCTTGTATCGGAACAGATCCAAGAAGCTGCCAGCCTCTCTGGAGCTCCTCTCTGCTGGGAGTTTTAATGAAAAAGTGCACTTCTGCTTGCGGTTCCTCTTTGCAATGAGGTAGAGGGCATCTTCTGCTTCATTCAGCCGGCCTTGTGAGTAGAGCCAGCGAGGGGACTCTGGAATGAATCTGAAAGATACATACACAGACAGCTTCAGGGCTTTTCTCTTCTATGAGGCTGGACTTCTCTACGGAAATAAGGGTGAAATACATTTCAGTATAACAAAGAATTTTTCAAACAACCCTTGAGCATTAAAATTCACTTACTGAAACAAAGACAAAACATGTTGAAAGGAAAGGGAACATAAGTCATATGTAATTTGATACCAAGAAATTACAATGAGTATATACATGTATACACACACATATATATATGCACAATGCTACAAGTTACAGTGTCATTCAGACCCTCTCTTCAGAGAATTCGGAATTAAGGAGGTACCACATTACTACAAGTAACACAGGATGTTTTTGCAACATCAACCAGTTGTCTTCCATTTCTCATTTTCCAACTTTTCCCCAAAATCTTTCCTGTAGACAGGAAGGCAGAGGCTGTGCAAAGCTCATGCTCTTGCTCCCCATGCGCACTGTTCACTTGATAGATCTAACTCCAACACAGCCTAAAAAACAAATCTTATATTACTTTTAGGTTCATAGAACTAATTTAAACTTTAGTCTTTTGCAGCAGCTTTAAGATTTTTGCCTCTGACTAGAAGTGACATTTTTCCTTTCAATTTAAAGGAAGGTGATTCTGTGCTTTTTTATAAAAAACACCTTAGAAAGGAACATGTTTTCTTCCCCATCATAAAAAAATCCAGTAGTATTTTCTGCACAGAGTAATTTAAGCAATGTGGGAGGGAGGCAGTGTAAAATTTTGAATAAAAAAATCTAAACAAACCCTTTCTTACAGCAAGATAGGCCTCTGAGCACAGCTCTGAAGTCCCAAGCATAAAGCACTTCAAAAAATTCTACATATCAATCTGAAAGTTAATTTTTTTTCCCCCAAAGGCCCCAAGCACCACTCAGTTTTGAAATATCAGAAGTATCATCTCTGCCTTTCACCTCACAGCCTCTAAGACCTTCCCCTGAGTTCTAATGCTTCCTTTGAAAGGATGCATTGACTCTTTAGCAAAGAGCTTTATTCAAAAAGTTAGTTAGTGAAGTTAAATAGATGTTGGAAGGAAAAAAGCCTTAAGTTTAAACAGCAGCTAAAGTTACTTTCTTCTTTCAGAAAGAAGAGACAGACTTCACTGTGAGGGAGTATATAAGAAAAGAAGAGCACATTGCATCATATAGCTTTCAGTGCTGAAGTCCTCAGACACAAAACCCCTACTATCTTAATAAAGAAGCCTTCTTCCTATTCTTTCCTAATCATATTTGACAAATAAATGGAAGCTGCCCCTTGTTTCTTTTACATGTCACCGTTAAGACTGTACGTGCAAGCAATTTTGATGCTGCTCTTTGTGTAAGCACAATTATAAGAGAAACATCATGTTATTGCATAACCACAAAACCATTTCTGTATCTTTTAACATGTATATCTAGTGTCTCGTAGCATACCAGACAATAGTTTAGATCATCTACATAGACCAGTTAAAGAATAGGATGTGCTTCTACACCACACTAGAGACTATTCCCATCTACAGTAATACGCATATACAATACAATGTACACTTACATTTTCAAATACTGCAGCACTGCTATTTAAAGAAAGAACATGGGGTGGTAGAGGTTGAGAGAAATACCTTAGTTACACCACTTCGTGTCATCCTAGAAAGGCACCTTGACTTAGTTTGGTCTGTTCACTGGGTTTTTTGTTTGTTGTGGGTTGTGTTTGTTTTTTTCTTTTTCTTATTTTTGACATTCTTCTTGATGAAACTCAGTTTGAAAAATAACTTACATAGAGAGAAGAAAGACAACTGTTCCTTCCAGGTTAACCACAACAGCCAGAGTCCTCCAGGAACGAATGAAGTACCCTAATAAAGCATACTGGGCAATTCCCACAGCAAAGAACAAGCCTCCAATAGAACCTAACATAAAATTAAACACAAAACAAACCATTATCACTCCTTGAAGGAACATTACTGTCAACACATGGGATCAGACAGAAACTAACACTTTATCATGAAAAATTCACTCAGCAATACAAGCAAAACGACAGCTATTTGACCAAAGAATATTCTTGTCTTTCACCCATGCTGGGCAGAAGTATTAAATCTAATTTCAAAGATCAATACAAGTCCAAAAAGCACTCTTCTACATCCCCCTCACCCAAAAAAGCCCCATAAACAGTTAAGTCTCGTAATTCCAAATATAAGTATGTTTCAGCCTTCTATGTTGAAAATAAATACTACAAACAATTGGAAAATTGGTATTTTTAGGAATATATAGTATTCCTTTATAGCCGTCTGATTCGTAAGATACCCTGCGTTAGAACAGTCTCAACATAGCACTCCTTTGGCACTTCTCACAGACAGGCTAAATCAGGTCCCAGAGCTGCAAGGGTAGAATTTATACACATCACATCTGAAGGACAGCTTCAGCACTAGCAACCAAAACAGCTAAGTGTGTCTCTATCTGTTGTTCTAAATTCCAACGTTGATTACCACACAGGACAGCACTTCTAAAATTTTTTTTTTTTTTTTTTTTTTTTACACACATGAAAAACGGTTGTCTCATCTTCCCACTATATAAAACCACTTTTGATTTCTTTTTGAGAACTGTCAGGAACAAAAGAATTTATTTTTAACATACAAACACTAAGCTCTGTTTAGCAGAGTCCAAACTTCTGATGGATAGAGCTCTGCTATCACAAACTTTGGATAAGTATTTAGCTGTGTAACACACACAGGGGATGTTTCAACTGGACCTTTATCAACTTGAGTGATGCAGAAATATGAATGGCCCCAAGTCATCTACTGTGCTTGTCTAAGGTTCGTATTAAACAAGGCACAGCACAAAGACTGCAGTCACACAGATGCTCAAGTAGACTTAAATTCACAACTGTGACAGTGTTAGCTTTGGCATGTCTCAAGTGGTGTGAAAAACCAAAATCTCTAAGTTCTGATAATAAAGACACTGGCACTCAAACTTTACCTGCTAAGGCCCAGTAGGCAGTACCCACACACTCATTCAGTAGAACAAAGGCGACCAGCGACATCCCACCATTCATCATCCCTACCAAGAAGCGAGAGATGGCAAAGAACTCATATGAGGGTGAGAATCCATTTGCAATGGCAAACAAGATGTCAAGAGCAAAACCTGGAAAACAAGGCAAAAGGTTACATTTCAGAAGAGTACCTAAAGAAAAAAAACAGCGTTTATCAGAACTTGATGTTCAGTGGAATCTGTCCTAAGTAATCACAGACAACTACAACACAGGTTTGGGCAGAAATTTAAGTACCTAAAGTCAATATCATAAGCTGGGGGGGCACGGCGCAGAACAAAAGGAGTCGTTTCTGATACATAATTTGCAGTATTAAACCTTCAAAGTCAGTTCATGGCAGACAATTTTCATATACTCAGAACTACTGTCTGGGTCCAGTTAAGATGGTTTGATATTTATCCCCATACAGAAGCCACAGATTAAATATATGTCCAAGTATCCCCCCTCATTCTTGGAAAGTAGTCTACACAAACTAGAGAAGAGAAACATTACCGAGGATAGCACACGGGGAGTTTGCACTGCATAGCAGGCCCACCTTTATCTGCTTTGAATAAGGTTGTTCCTTTAAAAATAATCAATTTTTAAATTCTACACGCTCATCCATTGACACATATCTTTATAAATGCATACACAAAACAAAGTTCCAAATGTCGTTTGATCTTAGGACAGTAAAAAGCTTCTGAGTTTTAAAACACGATGATGATCACAAATACATAAAAATTAAATCATGCAGACAGGAGATAAAATGTGCAACAAATTCCTCGCAGGTTATACATGTAAGAACATTGCTAACAAATCACTAGAAATATTAATTGCAACCTGTGGAGACCCCACGAGCATGGCATGCATGAGTGTAAGCCCTTATGATACGATTCCTACATCCACAACACCTCCCAGATATTCAGATGGTGATTGAATAGTCAAATATTAAATTCTCGTCCCTACTTATATTCCTGAAGTATACTGGAAGGACAAAAAAAATAATCACAGCACATGATTCACTGCTGCGTATCAAGCTCTCAGCAGAAACTGGGCTCTTGACACTGATCTTCACAGAGATGATACCTCCACTTCATTTATTTTGTTAGATGGCAGTGGTTACCTGTGAGATAGACTTTCTTCCTCCCGAAGCGATCTGAGAGCTGACCAAAGGAGATTGCTCCAACAAAAACACCACTGAAGTAGAAAGAACTGGCAGCACTGACTTTGTACGATGTGTTACCAATTAAAAACCACTAGATGGAGGGAAAAAAGTGAATTAACCAGAATCCAAGCAGTTCAGTAGGTTACCAACAGCTAATAGTTGGAGGGGGATGACACATTTTAAGGAAGATCAAACTTTGCATAAATCTCCTAAGCATCACAGTCAGTCATCAGTCACCAGAACACAATTGCTGTCTTCCAGACTCACCAGGTTGTACTAACCAATTACACAGTTCCCCCAAATCACATTGTCTTTGATTCTGAAATCAAGGACAGATCCCTCAATATTGTAATTTTTGCAGCCTTCTCCCCTTCTCCCTTTTATTGTCTTCTCACATAAATCTATTAGCTTAAATAGATTCAGTCCTACCTCTTGACATATGTCACCACAGTGTGTAGGCACAGTATGCAAAAATAAAAACTGTGGTTTATGTCCAAAGATAATCCTGCATATGCTTGTCCTTAAGAACTGTCTTGTCACTTAGAAACACTTTGGTAGCGTTAGACAGGTTCTCCCATATTGCAAATAGTCATCTTTTTTACAGTATACTTTGCATCATTTCCACTTCTTCTCAATTCCAAATACAAACCTGATCTTCATATGTTTGATTCTTACAGACTTAATGTCTTAGGTTGAACCTGACAGGAAATTCTTCCTCCACAAAACCGTAGAACAAAAATAGACCATGCTCTTTCTGTTCAAAAGTTATTTCCTTTTATATTCTAAAAACTCCACATCTTGCATTCTTTTCTTTTTCTACTCCTCTTGCATTTGAGATAATGTTTCCTTTTAGTGACACCCAACTTTTCTTCCTGTGCTGGTAAGCTAGTGATTATGTCATTATCCCTACAATAACACTTTAATCTTCTCCTTATAATCGTCTCTTCCTCTACTGAAATCCCATTATATATTCTTTCTAGCAAAGCTTATATTATTTCAAAGCTCAGTTATGAACTACCTCACCATGAGAACAGAGCCATGCAATTAAACCTCACCAAGATTAGGGAACCAACAAAACAAAATCATTCAGAAGCTCCAAGAAAATAACTTGCTTACTCTCAGTATATGCTTCATTTTGAATTGACACTTTAATGGTGAGGTGTTTACTGATACAGTAGGTAATGTGCCCATAAAGCAACAAGACTGACAAAATTCCATTCTAAAACTAACCATGTGACCACAAATCAGCTTTTGAAGCTTCTCTAGATTTTAAAAAAATTTCCCAGAAAAATGCATTTTTATAATAATAGGATGAGATTAATTTTATATTGAAACATCATGGCCAGTTTGTTTTATAAGAGCTATGAGAATCATGCCCTAACTTTTGGTATAAAAATTTTAAAAGCTGCCAACACTGAAACTCAGTGACATTAGATGCTTTCTGAACCATTCAGGGATTAAGGGACAATTTGGTTGAGAAGCAAATTTTGTTCTGCAAATTAATCTCAACAGCTAAGAAGCCTTTTAAAGGGCTCAAGGCTTTTCTCTTCTACATAAAGCGTATTCCATATATATGTCTGATATTCATAAATCAAGCTTTTTACATCAGAGTATTTTTCAGTGTAAATTTGCAATGGTCATGTCATTAGTAAGTGACACCACAAGATAAACATTAGAAACACCCTCCTCAAATATAGAAAAAGCTTCTTTACACATCAGTAATGAAATTAGCGATGAGATATCCCCCAAATAAGCGTGATCTCACTAAAATCTTTGTATTTAGCACATAAGGCAACTTCCAAATATACCACACATTCAGCTAACAAATTTTGAAAAAAATATGTATTTTAACAGTGGGAAACAGGAGAGGTAACAAGATTTTATACACATGGGCCTTTACTGAGAAGTACGTTAAAGGGCTACAAAAGCAGAATCTACACAAGTTGCCTGGGGATTTTTTTTTAGTTTTGTATGTTTCAAGTAAGCTTTGCTCTTTACATGCATTTCTTACTTATGTAACTAAAATGCATAAGAATCTTTATAAAATTTATGTCCTAGAACACTGCTAGGTTCCGCAAACACGTCTGACTTGTCAAGTTTAAGAGAATAGAAGATTCTGGGATAAATTAAAAAGCAAAATAGAAAAAGCCCAGAGAAAGTTTCAAAACCTTACTGAGCTTTAAATAATGCTTAAAAAAATCCACCATTCATTGGGGTTTTAATTTAAATAGTGGCACAAGTACTCATATCTTCTTTATTACCAGAATAAGCTGGCAGTTTTTATTAACATGCTTATAACAAATAAAGTTAAGTGCTTTACAGGACTAATTCAGATATCATTAATACCTCTGGACAATAGCCATGAATTACCAAGTGGTACTACACTCAACTGTACAGCTCTAAATTCAGGTCTTATAACACACACGCTCAGACAGGGCTCTTGCACAGAACGATTTGACATTAACAGATACTGAAGGCCCCAGGAAGGGCAGGTGTTGCACACATCAGTGCGGCATCTGAAATAATTTCTGAAGGGTGGCAAGACCATGAAAAACGACACTTAGAAAACACAGAGGCCACACCAATAAAGCTAAAGCTTGTTTTGCAACAGAAAGGGGGATGCTTTGACCACCTGACTCCCCACTGCCCATGTCTTCTTTCATATCTGGAGTTGCAGAGACTGCAGAAGCCACCTGCTCTCCAGTTCCTCCACTGCTTGCTAACTGCATGGAGGACACACTACATGTATTTGACCTTAGCAGGGGAATCACAGGAGGTGGGCAGAAAGGAGCTCAGTATCCATAAAGGATTTTGAGCACTTTAGTAAAATGAATAGCGTGATTCCAGCTCAATTGTGGAACCAGGCTACAGAAGCCAATACATAACTGCCATGTGGAAAAGGCAGGAAGTTTTGGAACAGAACTTTGGTCAAGATCTGCATAGCAAAACAAAGCTATTTTTTGTTGCCAGTAAAGATACGAGTAGATTACCTGTTCTCTACCCGGAGGTAGCACCCATTTCATTTGCTAATCAAAACACGCACTAGTATGGAAGAAAGCAGCAGTACAACCAGCCCCCTGCAATCAACCCAGTAAGACTTACTACTCACACATGATGCAGTAAAACACATTTCAGACTTACCTCAGAGACTATTGAGGTGAAGCTGCTGCTGAAGTGTACATGCTTATGCACCTCGCTGCCATTGGCGGTCAGAAGCCATTCCCCAAAAGCTCTCTGCGAACTCGCTGACTGGTTACTATGGCTCTGATTACCTGAGAGCTCTTGGAGATCCCAGTGGTAGGGAGGAGTTGCACCCACCAATGCAGTGAGGATGGCTTCAGTGGCCACATAGAGCTGTCATGAAAGACAAAAAAAAACATCACAGATGCTAAACATACATCCAAGCAACACTTCCTCTGCAGTTGGATCAAATCAGTATTAAAAAATATTCTTATTTTATATTTGCCTTCTACCACTACAAGATGCCATGCATAGCCCCCATCTATCAAATAACACATACTAAAGAACCACAGCTTCAACGTGGTTGTTCTTGCACTTTTTATCTGTTGATTATTTGAGAGAAAAGAAGTTCTCCTCCTGATGCTCTTCCTGCAGTCAGAGGCCCCCCAATTCCCACGCATAGCAAGTACACCTCCTGGATGTATGAAAAGTTGTTAGTAGTACTAGGGCGACAAAATAAAACTATTCTTTAATGTAAGTATATTACTGTATTATAACCTGTCCTTCCACCTGTGCTGTTCACTCCTCTAATTTGCTATTTGGAATAGAGCTCCTCCTCACTGTTTCATATCTAATCTTTCCCAGTTTTACCAGAGTTAATTCTTTCCTATTTTTTCATCTTCTGTAAACCTGTTTTACTCTTAAAAGACAGAGGCACACATGTGAACACACATATGCATTTTTTATATATCTACACATTTATACAGACACACAAAGTCTAACTACAGTGATCAACAGCTGGCTTTGTTTAGGAAAGAATAAAACTGCTGGAAACCCAGATGTTTCAAACCTGGTCTAGAGCTGGGTCACTGCTCAGAACATTCACAGGCCAATGCTTTAACACTTCATCTTAAAACCCAGTGTTATTAGATCTGTTTGAACACAGAGGTGCCACAAGTTCTGCAACAGAAGACAGATGATAAAGTCTGAGAGACAAAAAGGAGTTGCTGGTGACAAATACCCTTCCACTCTCCAAATAAAACCATCTCTTGTCTCAAGCCCTCACTGAGAAACTAACTCAGCACAGTAGCTTCTGACAAAACAGATCTGTTGCTTCTCCTCCCTACTACTTCCTCCATAAAAAAAAGTGCTCAGCCATTCCACTCTATTCCTCAAACCCCACTTCTACCACCTCCTGAACACAGCCCTTGCTCTGCTCCGAGCATCTCCATATGTTCTTGGGAAGAATGCACCTGTAGAAGGTGTGTTCTCTCAGAAGGCTGCTGACACAAATAATTCTCAGAACTGGGAAGACCATAGGTGGGCACAAAAAAAAAAGAAGTCTGAGAACCTCTAGGTTCTGATGCAAGCAATACCAGGTAATCCTGTTCTATTCTGTACAACAGCTGAGCAGAGTTACACCCAGTTCTAAATAAGAATTACTATTAAATTAACAGAGACTCCTAAGTTATTACCTGAAAGCATTTTCTTTCCATCAGCTCCTTTTTGCATTCTACATGATAAACCACTACTGTAGTGGCAGGAAGTAAATATATCTTTAAAAAAAAATAATTCTCTTTCCATTTTTAATATAAAATTATTGAATATCAAAAGGAATTTGGAAGAAAAACCAGCCTGTTAACTATGTCATTATTTAAGCTAAGAACAACTTCTAGATAGACAACAATGAAAAGTAGTGAATGACTAAGATTACTTGGGGAAAGAGGTGTTAAAAGCCAAGTGGCCATGTTGCTAGGGATGTGTGGATACAGTACTCTCAAGAACAGTTTGAAATTACTGGGAAGTGAGAACTACAGGTCATGATCTCTGGTGCATCCCTGTACTCTGACTTGCTCAGACAATTCTGTGTCAGGACTAAGTGATAACATCCTTGCATTTGTCTTGTGAAATAATAAACATAGTTTTGAAGTAGTTCAGGAAATGAAATCCTCAAGGCATTTGGTTTAGAGAAAAAGCAGAACGCTTTTCATTTTTGCTCTAGGTGAAACCCACCCCAGCTACAGAAAACTAAATCAAAAAAATAAGTGCTTGCAGACAAAGAAACACTACAGATTTTTCAATAAAAAACAGCCTAAAGTATCCTAGTGGCTACAGCAAGCAAGGGTATAACAAAGACAGAAATACTTTCAATTGATCTGTTCAATCAGAAAAATGTGTGAAGATGGGAGACATGTTTTGATGTTATCAAAGAGTATTGTTCTATATTCAGGTTCACTGGAGTCGCTGCTGACACAACACTGTTCTTCCTAGTGATCATCTGCCTTGTACTTTGGGTAGCAGGTATGGTTAACCCTCTGCACTTCATAGCAAAAAACCAAAAACAAATCCCACAAAACAACCCCCCAAATTAATTTACAATTCTGAAGACCAGAAACATTTTTTAGAAGTGGTCTTAAAAATACGATGAAGCAAATTCTAAACTTAAAGAAATTCAAAATGCAGTTTTTGTCAGTCAAGAGCCAGAAGTTTGTGTTAATGAATCGGAGATTCCCCTTTAAGAATTCAAAACGCTTGAACTTAGCAGTAACGTAGTTGTGTAGACTGGTGATCAATATAAAATGCTATCAAATAGAAATATTACATAACTTTGTAAGGTATAAAATGGCTACATTATATGCATTGTGGCAAAGCCCCTCATTTTTCATTTCTTCTATAATCCAAGTCAAGTCAAATCCATGTCATTTAATGTATACCTTCTATTCATAAAACATTTTAATTGGCTCTATGTGGATGTTAACAGTTCCCTATCGAATTCCCTGCACTGATCTGTATTAATCAAGATGAATACCAAGCACAGGGGAGGAGGCAGCAGCTCAGTCACTGATGATGAAATGCTGAGAGTTTTGTTAGCTTGGTTTAAGCTTCTCCTGTTTGTTTATATCCTCTGTAGGTTAAAATTTTACAGTCCGTCTAGATTAGAAGTCTGTGGTGTAAGGAAATTTATTAAAAGGCAACACCTTAACCTGCAAACTTTCTCTGCTAAGTAGAAGGAATTTTAGTTAGCCACTTATACCTATTTCATTAACAGGTTTTGAAATTAACTTAAAATTAACATTTTGAAATTAGTATTAAAGAAATGCCTGGAATGTCTTGACCAGCTTTCTTGGTGTTCATTTCCAGAACAAATTACTTCCAAGAAAAACATGGAATCTCTAATATGACTAGCAAGAGAGGGGGAAGGAGGACTTAAATAGTTTCATTTGTGTATGATGAAAACACACACAAAAATAATTTAAGAGACTTTTAGCCCTCATAATTCACCCATTATGAAGCACAAATGAAAAAAAGCAAGACTTAAATTCTACTAAGAAGTCCTTTCAACCTTTTTAATCATCTCAGCAATTCACAACCAGCCTGGTCATTCTAGACAAGAATCAGCTGAAGCATTCACTGCCAAACAAAAAGAGTAAGTCACTAACTTCTGACCTTTCAAATATAGAAACATTAAAACTGCACCTTAAGGAAAGACAGAGATTAAGGAAGAATGACAAATTACCTTGCTCTGGTAGAAGCCTATGATGAAGAGATGGTTACATTTTAAGATTGAGTCATTTCTCCTGAACATGACAAGCAGCTGAAAAGCTGGAGGGCCACTTTATTTTTGAAAGTCTGATGATCTCATCTGCTCAGAGTTATTTCAAAATGAGTGATTTGCCTTTAAATTCACAGAATTTTCCCCCTCAATAACTCTTCTATGTGGAAAAGCCCTAAAATGCCTTCCTGCTGCAAAATTATTATCTGCTGCTGACAGCACACTCTTCTACCAAAGTATCTTCCCCTTCTTCATAGGGCAATAAGGGAGAGAACACTGTAAAACAGAAGGAAAGGCTGCTGCAGTTACAGTGAAGAATCACCATGTGCAGAACATGATGTAATCTCTCAGACACTTAATCCCAACCTCACTCTGACAGGAACTATTCCCCATGAATAATGTCACCGCTGTTGATTATTACATGTGCCAGCAACAAAGTCAACACATTTTGAAAGAATTTAGGATTTCTGTAGAGAAACTGAGAAAAACCTAGCCAATTTATAGAGGTTTTTCAACCTTAAAATGTAGGCCTGTGGAATCCACAGAAAAAAGTCCAAAGTCTGTCCAAATGCATACGTAACTTTATTCTAGAAATCCTTTAACATCTACATTCAAACCTAAGACTGTACAGCAAACCACCACCCTCAGAGCCTTGCTTCCTACAGGTTTGTGGAAGATGCCCCCTTAGCTTCCTCTTCTTCTCTGTTCCAAACATTCAGAGACATCTCAACCTTGTTCCATGTTCCCTGTGATTTTGGTGGGCAGTGGCAGCAGCAGGGGTTTGGTGCCCCTTCTGCTCAGACGGGCCAGCCAGCACATGTCCCCACGAGTGAGGTGACTGCTGCCACCAAACAGCACACGGACAGACAAGGCCTGCTTTACTCCCCATCAGCACAGCCAAACATGCAAGTCTCAAGAGCAAATTGCTTCATTGAACAAGTTTTCTGCAAAGACAGTCCAACTGGCAGCTAACGCCTGTGTGTACACACACCTTTGCCTGACTGCACACACCTTGTACCTGTACTCCTGCCTACCTAATGATGACAACACTGGTTATAGCATTGCTGATAGACTGCAGGACACATACCTAGTTCGCAACTCCTCAGTTCAAGTTGCTTTTATAAATATTTGGTAGTCTATCACAAGAAAATGAATCTACTCTTTCTGCCAACAGGCTGAAGTGATCTTCACCAGCAAAATTTATAGAAGTACTTTCAGCTCTGTACTTTTTTCACTAGTGCTGTCCCTAGAGATCCAGTATTTCTAGCTAATTCATACCATTTGAGATTTCTCAGTCATTATCAATGAACCCAAGACAGAGGGTATGTCAGAGTCTGCTCATAACTGAAGAGTAAAACAGAGGGTGGAATGTAGACAGTGACAAAGAAAGTCAAAACAAAGTTCCACAAAGGGTTCTCCAAGAACAAAACAATATTCTTCACACAAGATCACATGGGTGAATTGAACTCTGAATATGCATACTTCATTAAGTTGTGCCAACAGCATTAGATTCTTCTACCTCTTCCACCACCCCATTCTCCCAAACAACAGGATAAACAAGTAAGAAAACTTACCATCAAGAGACAGGTTGCTATTACTTCCTGCAAGCTGGATTTCTCCA